GGCCAGGATTTTCATTCGGTAGTACAGTCGCTCGAAGTGTTCCTGAGTTTTGTTGATAGACGTCAGCTGATGGACCACGTTTGAGCTGTTTTCCTGACTGAAACGACGTTTCCGTCCGTTGATCACGCCTGTGCCCCTGTTGCCGAAGTAACTGAACTGTTCGTGGAAGTCTCTGGCGCGCTTCGCCGCGGCCAACGTTGGAGCCGGCCCCCATCTGCCATATACCGTAGGTAAGTTTATGGCCGGTGAGGTGGCGGCGGTGTGAGGTAGCGCGGCGGTAGTGAACAGGGGGTGACGACGACCGGCGGACGACGAAGCCGGGGCATTCATAATCGGGAACGAGGGCCACCTGTCTCTTCTGTGATGATGTTGTTCCATGTCATCATCATGACTCGCCGGGTTCAGAGCTGCGGTCCTGCCGCTGGTACCGCAGCTGCTGCCGTACGGGGGCCAATGCGTATCGCGCAATTCATGCATGCTGTGGTCTTCTTCATGGCTACCGACGATGTTAGGGCCGTACGAACCCGCAGACGTGGCCCACAGCCGGCAGTGCTGCTGCTGCTGCTGCATAAGTGAGGAGGCAACGCCGCATCACCTTCGTTAAGTCAGGAGGAAGTACGAGCATGTTTTTTATAGTCGTCTACTTTTCCGAAACCCATCGCTGCTTAATTGATCCTTGAGTTTCGGCAATAATTCTCGAGAGTCACTCGACAATCCTTTTATCTGCTGAAGTCGTCCAATCAGCACTCAACGCCGCGTCACGTGAGGGAAAAGAAAAGAGATTTACGCGTGTGTGTGGTGGCGCGACCGCGTTGTCATTCACTCGACGCGTTCTGTGGGCGATGACCGACCGACCGGTTGACGAGTGGCCGGCGGCGACCCGTGACAATGGTGACGGACGGCATTCGGCGTTGCACTGCGGAATCAATCCGGTTTGGGCCGACCAGCGGGCTTCCTGTTGACGTATGCTCATCTTGAATAGGGCTGAGGAGAGACAGGCACACCGGGACATTTGTTGTGAATGGATCCTGTCCGTCACCGTCAATCACGGCGCGTGCGGCCACCGTCATCGTCACCGCTTTCTGATTTTATTAGCGACTATGTGGACCCTCCCTAACCCTTCCGTGGTTGGGTTTGCTTCGTCGCCTCGTCAGCGAGTGTCGCGCAACCGTTGTTCAGGTGGCGACAGCAGAAAATTAATGGTAGAAAAAAGAGCATATTGCAGATGTATTCGAAAAATGGGTTTGATTTTGAAGGATGACAGCTGCAGTGGTGCTTACACAACAGAGCAAGTCACCTACGGACGGAGCCTCATCCTGTAAATTCTATTCATTAACGCCGTCATCCGGTCTCCTGTCAATGAACAAGTTCATACAGATGACCGAGTATGTCTTCAGCAAGATTTCTTATTGATGAGTAGTTGCTGGTTCCGTAGGTGGATCAAGTAGGTTTCACGCGGTCACTGACCCCCGCCATAATAGCACTCACTTAATTTATTGGATAAATGACTAATTATTAGAAAAAGGCAC